CTCCCCTCCACCCCTTCCCTCCTTCCCAGCGCGCTCTGGTGCTGGCTGCCTCAGGAGTGTGGGCCGCGCCTGCCACGGTGTGGCTCTCCGTGGAACTGCAACCTCACGCAGCTGGGCGGGCAGAGTCAGCTTCTGCTGGGGTGCAGGGCAAGGTTTGAGGGAGGAGAGGAGCGAGTGAGGGCCAGGAGCAGGACTGTGGGGGGCAAGGCACTGTATGTGCTAGTGCCAGCATGGGTCTCCCAGAAGCAGCTTAGCCACCGACTGCCGACATTTCTGCTGTGTGAGGGTCAGAGACCACCTGCCTGCAGGCCTGATACGGCTCCCGCTATCCCTGTGCCCCACCCCTGACCTGGCTCTGAACCTCAGCTGCCCTCAGGGACCCCCGCCTCCCATACTCCCAGCCAGAGACGAGATGGGGTCCGCTGGAAGGTCTGGCTGGGGGTGAGTGATGTGACGCTCACTGAAGACCCAACCAACCAACCATCCACGCGAGCAGGGGGTGGGCAGGCAGAGCCTCAGAGAGCCCCTAGTCGGCTGCCCGCTTTCCTTTCTTCTGTGTCTCCTTGAAAATAGCAGCTGGCGCCTCCTCTCCCCCTGCCACGTCCCGCAGCCACCAGGCAGGGCTCCAGGTCACATTTTTGGAAGAAGCTGGGCTTTGACAGGGTTATTTGAAAGGAAAAATTCCTTGAATGTCACAAAGGGAGAGAGGGCCAAGGGGGCTCTGCGTCTGAGTGTGTGTCTAGGGGCAGGGGTGAGCCTGAGCTGCAAGGAGGCTTCTATTTGGAGTTTCTGCAGCCAAGCAGGGGGTGGGCTGGCAGAATGCAGCTCTGCCCTCCCTTGCTGAGACGTCTGAATGGAGCGGGCAGGGTGCGGAGGCCTCAAGGTCAGAATCCCCAGGCTGTCCTGAAAGGGTGGGCTCTTCCGGGTTCCAGACTCTGGACTTCTGGGACAAGTTCCTAGTGAGGAATGAGGACCAGGAGCCTGGATGCCTGGGGTTCTGGGGCTGGGTGTTCGGGATCTCCAGGGCTAAGGTTTCCTGGTCTCTGGCCTCTCTAGTCCAGATCAGGGCCAGTCCCTGTTCAGGCCGCTGTCGGCCATCACCATATTAGGACATGAACTCTAGGCGGGCTGTTGGGTGCCAAACAGTCTCCAGCTGGGTCTGGCCCCCTGCAGCTCCCAGCACCACAGCTGTGCTTCAATTGGGCCATTTCAGAGGCCGGAGGTCAGGGGACAGTAGAGGCTGCTGATGGGAGATCCAGACAGAGCCCCCAGCTTAGGTTCTGAGGGCTGGGCCAGAAGGGCCTGGGGTGAGGTGAGTGGAAGGACCTCAGGCAGAGCGGAGAATCCCTGCCAGCCCCTCACCTGGTCCAGCGCCCCCTTCTCCCCTCCCCCCTCCGCCATCCTGTTTCAGTTGGTTGCAGAGGATCTCCTTCCACAAGATGAATCCCACGGCTGTTAGAACTGCTGTTCTGCAGGAACCAGGCCCTTCACGCCTGGTCTGCTCAGGCCATTGCCGTCGCACTCCCCACGGCTCAGCCACCAGGGCCTGTCCAGGGAGCCTCCAGGTTGCTGGCCCCTCCCTTGACTCAATCCACCACCGATACTTCCTCTCCACCGCTCTCCACCAGCATTGCCCCATCACTAGCCCCACTGGCCAATGTCTGCTCCCTGGTGTGTTGTTCTAGGTGCTAGGCCAGCAGAGGGGACACAGACACTGGTGAGTTAGGTCCCTGCAATTCAGAGAAGACAGATGAGCAGGTGGACAAGAAAAGAAATTTGTCCTGAGAAGAAAGCATGATGGGGGATAAGCCTGGTGCCCGCAGGGAACATGGAGAAAGAGGAATAGGATGTTAATATGAGCATCAAGGTCTTCTTCAGAAATTGGCAGAGGAGGGTGAGGGGCTGTGCGCGGGACAGGGAGCAGAGGTGGAGGGGGCACATCTGGCCTGGTGGGCTGGCCTCACCTGGTAGCCAGACAGACAGAGAGACTGGGAGAGAAGAGAAAGACAAGGAGCCCAGCCAGCATGGCTCAGAGGTTGAGCGTTAACCTATGAACCAGGAGGTCAGGGTTCAATTCCCGGGCAGGGCACATGCCTGGGTTGTGGGCTCGATCTCCAGTGGGGGGCGTGCAGGAGGCAGCCGATCAACGATTCTCTCTGTCATTGATGTTTCTCTCTCTCTTTCTTCCTCTCTCTGAAATCAATAAAAAAATATTTTTAGAAAAAGAAAGACAAGGAGAGACAGTGATGCAAGATGTAGGAGCCGTGCTTCACGGCTCTTTGGTGAAGGATCACTTTTCTTTATTTCTAATACATCACAGACCTTTGTGAAGTGCAAAATCACATGCTTGGACATCGTGGCAATGTTGAATTGCTTGAAGGTTTTGAAACTCTTGCTCTCAACTTTGAGTGTATCTTGTTGTGGACCGACTGGTGGGACTAATGCAGAGAGAGCTGGGACTAATGCAGAGAGAGCCAGGATGGGGACAGAGAGCGATCACTAACCCGCGTGCAGTGTTCCGTGTACACCAGGAATTGCTCTAGGCCCTCAGCATGTGTTGACTTCATCTTTGCAACTCAGGGCAAAGGAACTACTATTCCCACTTTATAGATGAGGAAAACGAGGCACAGGAAGGCTAACTAAGTTGAGCACAATGCATAAAGGACTAAGTGGCAGAGGTGGGATTTGAACCCAGAGACCCTGGGCCTAAAGTCTGTGGGCTTAATTCCCACACTGCACTGCTGTGTATGTGTACCCCCACGTCCTGTGTGGTTCAGGGTTCAGGATCTGGAAGAGGGGCCGCACACAAATGAAAGAGACAAGAGATAATAATTTGGAAATTGGGGGGCCAGGCGAGAGCCCATCCCAAGAGGATGGACTCCACTTGTGCTCAGGCCTTGCCATCCTTTTACTCAGTTTGGGGTCCATCCATAGCCCTTAGGCAGGCAAGTTCCAGTAACAGACAGACTATCTTATCAGTAAGGATTTACGTGACTATCTGGTGGGGAAGTTGCTTCAGCTACCATTGTCTGGACTAAACAGTGGGTGCATAGCTCTGACCTTTGCCAGGGCTCAAGGGTCACCAGCATTCTGGGCTCCTTGTCCACACCTCTCTGCTAGAGAAGACAATAGGCGGCTTCCCACACACTGCCCTGTGTGAGGGTCACAAGGATACATTGAGAGGCGAGGGAGAATGAGATGACAAGGTGGAGGCAGAAAGGAGCTTAAGCCAAGGTGAGGGAGAATGCACCCGGGGAGAGGGCTAGAGAAACAAAACAGGCGGAGAGAGAGGGAATGCCTGGCCAGCAGCAAGTCGGAGCAGGTAGACTGAGGTCACAAGCTCGGTCTGGCTGACACAAAGCTGCAGGGGGGAAGGGGGGTGGGACAGGAGACTTGGCGAGGAAGGGGCAGAACTGTGTGAGGCCGTGGGGGAGGCAGACATGGACAGGCCCCTTCAGGTTTCTGCTCTGCCCACCCAGGGGCCTTGGTACCACAGTGGCCGTGTCCCCCACTCCACAGGGAGCTGCTTCCTGTGCCTGGTGGACGTGGTACCTGTGAAGAATGAGGATGGAGCTGTCATCATGTTTATCCTCAACTTCGAGGTGGTGATGGAGAAGGACATGGTGGGGTCCCCGGCCCATGACACCAATCACCGTGGGCCCCCCACCAGCTGGCTGGCCCCAGGTAAGTGCAGCCACACTTGGACTGGTGCAGGAATAATGAGCTCTCCCTTTTTTGGGGCCGTGAGGCTACCCAAGGCCACTGCCCTGCAGGAAGGAATGTGTGTGCGGGGTCCCTTCAGAGGTTACCGAGGACGTGGCCTGGTCTCATCTGGCTCAAAATGAACAGACAGGGATGGAGTGACAGCACCACAGGTCCTTAGGGCAAGATTGCACCTGGTGTCCTAGCTCTACCTGCTCAGGTTTCCACTGCAGCATCCTCTGGGCGTGGTCCTCTCTGCAGCCCAGGGTTAGGGCATTCACCCTTTCAGACATTCTGGCCCTTTGCTCATCAGAAGGCCCTGTCTCTCAGGGACCCAGATGTCTTTCTGGGGAACTTCTGCCCCTGGTCCTTGTTCCTGGACAGGACAGCTCCCTGTGGCCTGGGCTAATTGAGGAGAGAATTTGAGGGAAATGCTCACTGTGGCTGGAGACATGGAACCCTCCCCTCATCTCTCTATGACTCAGGCTCAGACTCCTTTCCTCCCCGCCGTGGCCTCTTTGGGTTTAAATCTCATTTGCCCTTTAGAGTCATGGCAAGGAGTCCACCCCGTGGTCTCTCAAGCTCTAACCTGGCAGTGTTAACGCTGGGGCCATCTGCAAGTTGGCGGGGTCTGGCAAGAAGGCCTGCGTGGCTGCCCCGTTTGGAGGCAGGCCCACCAGGCACTGAGCGGCCTCCAGCAAGTCACAGTGCATTACGCCTGCGTTTCCTGCCTCGATAAGGGGAAATGTTGCCCGCAGTGCAGTCGCGTCACCCACGGTTTGAGTAGAGCCCACTGGGGTATTTGGCTCAAGAAATAGTAGTTTATTATTTTCAGAGCCTCGGATAAGATCGGGTCCTAGAATTTTTTTGAGATGAGTGGAAGTCGGGTGGAGGGGTGCCCACTGTCAGGCTCCCACTCCCCACCTTCCCCTTCTGTTTGGCAGGGCCGCTCCTGTCCCCCAGCCAGACAGCTCCCTTCTCCCCACAGGTCGCGCCAAGACCTTCCGCCTGAAGCTGCCCGCCATGCTGGCTTTAACAGCCCGGGAGTCCTCGGGGCGGCCGGGTCGCACG